AGCTTTTACATATGTATGTATATGAAAAATATATATGAAAAAATTATATTCTATATATGTTTCTAACATCAGTTACACTTTGTAGGCAGAGTAAAATGGATTTTTTTTCCCCTTGGTGAGTCCAGAGATTGAACCTAGAGAGTGCTGAACTATATCCCTAGACCTTTTTTCTACATCAGGGTAGGAGTTGCCCAGGCTGGCCTCAAATTTGAAATCCTTCTGCTTTACCCTCTCACATAGCTGAGATTTGTGCCACCACACCCATATAGTGGAACTTAGTCCAGTGATCTTACCTGCATTAGTGTGAAAAATGGTTTCCCACTAAGAAAACACCCAAGTTCCCATGAGCTCAGCTGCACTGTGGTGCACGAGTGTGAGTGCTGCTTTTTTGGTACCAGGCGTCTCTCACTCGGGGCTCGCACTTGCACGCAGGTGCAGTGCCACTGAGCTGTCCCTGGTCCTATGAATACTGTCTTTCTATGGCCACTGCACTGCTGGGAGTGTTTGCTGCCAATATCAGAGCTGTAAGCTGCTGTGGCCACTCCTGTTGTGTTACCTAATGTTTGGCTAGATGTAGCCAGCCCCTGATGCTCTGAGGGCAGAGTATTTGTTGTAGATTTTGTTTTCATTTTTTGGGTGCAGTATTAGGAGTTGATCCCAGGGCCCTCACACATGCTAGGAAAGGATTTTACCAACCAGCTGTATCTCTGTCCTTTTGATTTCATTTTGAGAGAAGAGTTGCTAAAGTTGCCCATTTGGGCCTTGAAGTTGCAGTTCTGCTCTTGCCTCTGAGGAGCTGGGATTATAGGATTGTGCCACCTTTCCCTGCTGTTGCTGGTGGTGGTGGTGGCGGCGGTGTTTTCTTGTTTTGTTTTGCTTTTCTTTAACTAGGGGATTGATGGTGAGGCATGTCAGTGGGTTAGCACTCAGGATGCTGAGGCAGTGAGTTTGAGGCCAGCCTGAACTGCACAGTGAGACCCTGTCTCAAAAACCCAAATAAGGGCCAGCCAGATAGCTCAGCAGATTGAAGTGCCTGTTTAGGCAGGTGCAGGGACTGGGTTGATCCCAGTGTGCAGTGCCAGCCCTGCTCCCAGGCGCTGAAACGGCGACTGAGACTGGGCGAGATGGCACGCACCTACCATCCCAGCGCAAGGGAGGCTGAAAGCAGGAGGGTTACTACAAGTCCGATCTGTGTAGTGAGACCCTGTACTAAATACATTAAAACAAAAAACTTACTCAAAAACCCAAATATATAAATGGATTGAATCCAAACCATAGGCACTGGGCCACATCTTCACCCCGTCCCCCCTTTTTTTGGTCTTTTTGAGACAGGTGATTACAGGTGCCTGCCACCATGCCCGACTCTTTTTTATTTACAAAACAACACCCTGCCAAGTCACTAAAAGCCCAGGCCAGACTCCTAAACTTGTAGGTCTCAGGTGCGGCCTCCTGGACTGCAGGGCTCACAGCCCCTTGCCTGCTGCACCTTGCCTTCTCTTCAGTCTTGAAGTCATTAGCGTAAGGTGTATTTAATTACTGTTCCCCAAGCAAAGGTTTTTCATTTTGCTCTGGGTGAGGTGGATCATATGGGCAACTGCTCTGGTCTTAGGCAGAGGCAGTAATCATGCTGGTCATACCTAGTACAGCGCCTTTGCCCCAGACCTTCGCATGCTCACTTACCCCTCACGACCCTGACAGGAGAAGCTGTTTGGTGATGAAGGGGAAGACTCAGGAGTTTGCGACTCAGCCAGGGCTGTTGGCTTAGATCACAGGCAGGACCAGGACCTGATTTCTTCATTCCTTGTTCCAATAACTGTTGCTATGCATCCTGTCCTCTGAGATGATCTATTAACTTTCCAGAACTAAGCCAGTCTATAACTCCCTGGCTTTCCCTAAAACCCTGAAAACTAAACAACAAAAAAGGGACTGGGGAGATAGCTCAACAGTCTAAGTGCATGCCTGGCAGGCTCAAGGACCCAGGTTCAATCCCTGGTACTGCATGCCAGCCCTGAAACCGGGCACGGTAGTATATGCCTGTAATCCCAGCTCTGGGAAGGCTGAGACAGGAGGATCACTATGAGTCCAAACTGCATAGCAAGACCCTATATCAGGGCTGGTGAGATGGCTCAGTGGTCTAAAGCACCTACTTAGAACAAGCTTAACAAAAGCAAAGGGACCGCGGTTCAATCCCCCAGCACCACATGCCAGCCAGCCCTGCCCCCTGGTGGGCTGAGCTGGCCACACACACACACAATAAATAAATGTAATAAATACAAATAAAAAAAGTTTAAAAAAAAAAAAAAAGACCCTATATCAAATAAACTAAAAAAAAAAAAAATCTGGAGGGTGCTGTCTCCCAGAAGGTGGGAGTCCTGGGTAACTGTCAGTTGGAGAGAGCTTTCCAGGGTTGGATACCGAGCTCCTGCGTGAAAAGGAACAAACCAAAGTTGCTAACTCCTTTCCCCAGTCTTTTGAGCAGCTTAGTTTAAATGTTTGGCAGAGGACTTTGGTGAAAGGCTGGGGAGGTTGGAGACCATTTGTCATTGAAACCCACCGTTACCATAGGCAACCAGGCATCTTTCTGCTGAGGAGCAGGAGGCTAAGCATTTCAGTGCAGTAAGTGTTGAAACAGATTTTTTGAAACTTTCATCTAAGAACATAAATGCAGTACAGTAAAATGTCAGTGCCTTTACAATAAGATTCAGATGATTTGCATAATTCGAGGTACATAAAATTTAATAACACTAGCAAATAGTATTAATTGGTACTTTATTAATTACCTTTTTTTAAAATTACCTTTAAGAGTTACTTAAAACTGTGAGAGAGCTTCAGTGGACTGAGTGCTTGCTTAGGCAAGCACGGGGGGGGGGGCCAGGGGGCGCCAGGGTTTGGTCCCTAGAACCTCATGCCATGCCGGCCCCTCCCCCCGGGGATGCCGAGCTGAGGTTGGAGTCCAAGCATGGTGGCACATGCCTGTAATCCCAGCACTAGGAAGGCTGGAAACAGGAAAATCCCTACAAGTCGAGCTGTGTAGTAAGACCCTACACCACCCCAAAAAAAAAGTTACTTAAAACCTTTTTTTTTTTTTTTTTTTCTTGGTACTGGGGATCAAACTCATGACCATGTGCTTGCCAGGCAGATGCTTATGGTGCTGAGCTACCTCCCTGCCTATTAAAACCCATTTTTTAAGACAAGATCTTGGCTATGTAGTCTAGGCTGGCCTCAAATCTACCATTCTGACACAGCCTCCCAGGTGCTGGGGTTACAGGTACAGGTACATCACCAGACCTGGCAAAACTAAACATTCTGGGGAGATGGCTCAGTAGAATAAGCACTTCCCTGGCAAGCAGAAGGGCCTGAGTTCAATCCCTGGTTCCAGGAAAAAAAAAAAAAACCCTAAACATTCGTGTATGTCTTTTTAAAAATATTTTTATATATTTTAAAAACTGGACTGAATTTGTTGCCTAAATATAGGGCATACACTGTCTGATGATAAATGTACTCACAGTCTTTCCAAGATTCATTTTGAAAACTGCATGTTTCTAACAGTGGGGGAAGTAAAATCCTAGTTAAAGCCTCCTTAGGAGGATGTAAAGTCTGAGGTCATCACTTGCAGCCTGACAGCACAGTGAGGTAGCAAGGGCCGGCAACAGAAGCCAGGGGGCACTGTTGCTTCTTCCTGCAGCATGACGTCATAAGGAGAACCAAAATCGTCAAGGAGACTACTACAAAGTAGTGATTTACTTTTTAGGACACAAAGCCCGTGGAAATGTTTCTAGCGCACACTGAGGTGGGTCAGCGGCACTCAGCAGACCGTGGCTTGCGCCTCCCAGAGCCTCATCTGTACACTGCCCTCCCTCCCCATTTTTAGGGCTCACAGTGCTGGACCAGCCGCAGCTGAAAAGCAGTTGCCCAGTGCACAGCCCACCCCTCTCCCAAGAGGGGCCAAGTCTTCAGAGTTGACAGTGTCATCTCCTGACCCTCTTACCAGGACACACAACACAAGACTACATGTACCTCTATGGGGCTCACAGACCCCAAGGCCCCTATGGTTTCTAAGGCCCAAGTTAAGGACTCCCTGTGCTGGTGATCTGAACAACGCAACGGCCCAGGGCAGGTGGAGGGCTGGACTGACCATGAGACAATTGCTTCATCTGGTTTGGTTTGGGGCCAGGTGTTGGCTTTCAGGGCTCCCTGCCATTTTCAGAGCACAACTCCAGGAGCCAGGAAGCTGTGGGCAAATGCGCGGGGTGGGTCCTCACCAGGCCCTGACTGAGCTCCTGCTGCCTGAAAACAGCTTTACCTTTGATTTGCAGGGAAGGGAGCTTCTAATTTGTTTACTCCTCAAGGAAAAGTCAAGTTGCATTCCTCCCAGGAGCTTCATATTGGGTCATTTCCCCATAGATCTGACATTCCCGTGCTCCACAATCCGAGGGGAAGAGCTGCCTCCCACCTCTGTCTCACTTGGCCCTGGCTCAGCTTCAGACAGGCTCCCAGCACTGTGCCTCGGAGAAGAAGGACTACAGGAGACAACTTGGGGGTGAGATGCAGCCATCAGCTGTCCCAGCTCCTGAACGCTAGAGTGGGCCTGTACCTTTTTTCCCCTCCAGTACCAGGGATTGAACTCAGAACCATGCTTTTGCCAGGCAGGTGCTTATGCCGCTCAGCTGTCTCCCCAGCCCTGGGCCTGTATTTTTAGCAGACTGGCACGGCCACCAGGAGACAACTGACTCTCAAGCTTCTACCCGCAGTCACTCGCCAAACACCCAACACTTTCTCCAGCTTCGAGAAAACCCAGGCACTAGAAAACACACTTACATGCTGAACACTTCAATCTGTTATTTTGTCCCAAATAAGACGGGGGGGGGGGGGGGGGTGTAAATTCTTCCTTAAAGATTTTGCAGCCTATCTGTTAACAATTTTGTTGCCCCTTCTTAAAAATGCCCTCATGTAAGTCAATACTCTCGAAGATTGGTTCTACAAATGACACTGAAACTATGTTACATTTACAAATATTAAATTTATTACAACTAGAATGAATTTAATGGTTCTCAGATTTGGCCACCTTATAGCTCCGTTTAAGGAGGGGATTTTTTAAAACAGAAAAATGCATTCTAACTTGGTCAAATTACACACTTAAAAAAAAAAAAAGGCTTCCTAAAAGGAAAACAGAAAAAGCAACCCTTCAGTTTCACATAATTAAAGAACAGGAGAAAGCATGTAAGCGACATCACTGCGAGGTCGGCCGGCCGGCCGGCCCGCCCGCGCCGGGTCCCCTCCGACTGCGCGCGGCCCCGGTCCCCACCCCGCACCCTAGTCCTGCTCGGGCGCGCGGGGCCGCTCGCTCTGGCGCAGCAGCTGCAGGTTCTCTGCGCGCAGCCGGTCCAGCTCCAGCTCCAGCTCCCGAACGCGCGCCTCGTCGCCGCCCGGCCGCCGGCTCTCCAGCCGCAGCCGGTTGTTCTCGTCCTCCATGCGCGACAGGCACTTCTCCAGCTCCAGGTACTCGCGGATGAGCTCCTGCTTGCTCATGTTCTGCAAGCTCTCCGCGTGGTAGCGCTCGTACGTCTCCGAGAAGTCCCGCTGCAGGAACTCGCCGCCGTCGCCGCCCATGCCGTCGCTGCCGCCGTCCTCCTCGCCCGCCTCCTCCATGAAGTCCTCCTCGCTGCTGTCGGACTTGGCGGCGCGGCGCGGGCAGAGGCCGGTCTTGAGGTCGGGCTCCTCCTGGTCGTGGTCGTCCATGAGGAACTGCGTGGTGTTGTAGGGTGCGACGGGCTGGCCCTTGGCGAACATCTCGGCCCGCACGCGCGAGGCGCGCAGGCTCTGCCGCTCGTCGAACTTGCGCTTCTCCTCCCAGCTCAGCTTGTAGTACGGCTTCCAGTGCCGCTTCTTCTTGGACGGCCGCCGCCGGTGCTTCTTCTTACCCAGCTGCCGCTGCTGCGAGCCCCACGCTGTCCTGGGGGCCTCGGCGTCCGGGCCCGGGGGCGCGGGCAGCTCGGGGCTACGTTCGTCGCCGCCGCCCGGGCCCGACGGGCCGCCATCGCCCGCGTCCTGCTGGGGGGCCGGGCTCCCCGCACCCCCCGGGGGCGAGGCCCGCGAGCGCCACCTGCCGTCGCCCTCGGGCGCGGCGGGGGGACGCGCGGGACCCGGGTCGCCCGCACCTGCCCCAGGGTTGCCCGCGGGCGGCAGTTCCGACGGCAGAAGCTCGGCCATGACCGGCGGCGTCTCCTCGAGAGGCGGGGCGCGCACGGGCCCGGGGCCTACGGGGGAGAGGCTGGTCCCGTCCTTTCACACAGCGTCCCGCAAAGCTGTCCTCCGGCCAACTCCAGCGGCGCCCCGGGCGCTCCCGCCGGGAAGGGGTTAAGCGGCGCGGAGCCGGGCAGCGCCGGGTCGCTCGCGGACGTGGGCGTCGCGCCGGGCCCTGCGAGGCGGCGGTAGCCACAGGCGAGGTCGGCCCGACGGCAGGACCCGGCGCCGAAGGGGTTAACGCCACCGATGACGCCGCGCCGAGGGCCGAGGCCACAAAGGGTTAAGTCCCCCGCCGCGGAGCGCACAGGGGGTTAAAGTCCCGACGCCTCCTCCTCCCACTTCCACGGGTGTCGCTCCGGCCCGCGCTCCCAGGTCCCCAGGCCCGGCCGGGGCCTCAGCCGCGGACAGCCAAACTCATCTCCCCGCGGCTCGACGCTCGCTCCGCTCCGCTCTCCGCCTCCTCCCTCCTCCCCTCAGACGGCGCCTCTTCCGCCTGCTACCCGACTTCCCTCCCAACCTGCCTCCCCACCTGCCAACTTCCAACTGCTGCCTCCCAACCCTGTGCGCCGCTTTTATAGAGGAGCCCGCTCCCGCCGCCTGTGCGCATGTGTAACGGAGGCCCCGCCTCGGGAAGCCGGGAGTCGTAGTCTTCATCTTTCAGGGCCGTCGTCCCCGCGCGCCGTGCGACGTAGCCAATCTCAGGACGCGTAGGGGGCGTCTCCCGAGCCACCACCGCCCACCGCTCGCCCCAAACTGGAGGAACGCGGGCATCCATTGGCCGAGAGTCGCGCGTCAGGGCGAGGTAGAACGGCCAATCAGAGAACAGAGGAGGCGGGCCCTGGGCCGTACCATTCTGCCTCAGAACTCGAGGAAATTCCGCTGCCTGGGTCAACCCAAGCAGAATATTTTCATAGAAATGTGCATTTTAAACATGATGCCATAGTCTGCCCTCAGCGGAAGTGTTTTGACGACCCCAAACATTTAATGAGAGAAAAAATGGTTCATTCCTAAAAAGTAGTCCCTGCGATGTGAATGAGGATCGAGCCTGCAGAGAGCTGTCGGCCGGGGTAGGGCCGACCGATCCCTGCGGCCCGGTGGAGTAGCTGGCCGACCCAGCGCCGCGGAAGGATACGCGGTCGTGGAAAGACGAAGCGCATGCACAAGTAAACAAATGAAATAAAAAGTGCCGCCTTAAAGGGGCAGTGTGCCCGCGCTCGGTGTGTGGCCCGCGCCTAGGCCTCGGGGTGGGCGGCTTGCGCCTGGCCTCCAGGCTCCGGGACCCGCGGTGGCAGCGGCGCCCCGCAGGGCTCTCCTGCACCCGTGGGTGCTGGTGGGGCCGCCTCCGCCGCGAATCGGCCGGGACCCCCACGCCGCCCGGGACCCGAGGGCCCCGCGCCCGGCCTTGGCGTCCCCGCCGCTGTGACGCTGCCAGCGCGGACCCTCGGGTCCCGTCTGGTGACCGAGTGACAGGGCCAAGGTCACAGATGTCGGCGGCGGGGCCGCAGGTCTCGGTGACCCCGGGCTGTTATTTGTCGCCAGCCCAAGGCCCGAGTTTCCTCCGGGTTCCGGGTTGGGTCCTTTACAATCCCATTAAAGCTTCACGCTAATGCAGGTTCGGTTCCCTCGGCCATTTTCGGGGGGCACAATGGCGCCCAAAATGCCATCCTGGCCTCGCACCGCTCAGGGAGGCCACCGAGCACGGTGGCCTGAGACATCTCCAAGGCCCGGCCGTCCTGCTTCCGGCCGCCGCCGCCGGATGACCAATTTTCAGGCAGTGGCCAGACAAGGCATTTTCCATTTTTATTTTTAAATTTTTGAGATGGGGTCTCCCTCTCGCCCAGGCTGGCCTCCAGCTTCTGAGGCCCAGCAGCCCTCCTGCCTCAGCCTCCGCATGCTCCACCCAGGCCCGCGTGCGGGTGGGAGGCGGAGCCGGCCGGGGGTGCCCGCGTAGCTACAAGCCTGCCCTTGTGATTGTTTTGTCACTGCGCTCCTGGCAAGCCAGAATCGATCAGGTGAGGAGGCGCCGTGCAGCGAACCTGCCCGGGAAGTCAGAGCCCTCCACTGTGGCCCGCCTGGTGGGGCTCAGCTTCGGGTTTTCCCAGTCAGATTTGCAAGGTGGGGCAGAACCAACCTCAGGACCCAACAAACCTTTACCAGCCAGGGTTCAGCTGCAGGTCTTGTCATCTGGGGCAGAAGCAACTGGACAGGCTGTGGAATTCCAGAATTCTACAAGGGGCCAGACAGCTGCCCTGCAGGGACACTCCGCCCTCCGTGGGCATTCGACATGCCCAGCCCCTGTTAAAACCCATGACTCCCAACCAGGCCACCAGGGCTCAGCAGCGGGAGGGATCTTGCCCATTCAGGCCCATAGTGGTGCAGGTGTAGAATCCCTCCATTCGGGGAGGCTGAGGCAGAATGACCACGTTTGATCCCAGACTGAGCAATTTAACGGCCCTGCCTCACATTCGTAAATAGGAGTGGTGATGGGAAGTAATTCAGTTCAGAGGGCCTGGATTTAATCTCCAGTACTGGAAAAAACAGATAAAACCCCGAATCATGCCCAGGTTGGGCGTTGGCTCCACGCTCCCTGCGCCCTCCGCAGATCTGGTCTTCATTTGTCACAAAGGGTTTATTCAGCCTCTGTGGCAGCCCCAGGTGGCCTGAGGACCTGTGTCGGGTCTGTCCTGAGGCCAGACAGGAATGGGTAGCTGCCACAACCATGCACAGGCATCTGGTAGGACCCTGGTCACTGGGGTTCCTCCCATCCCAGGCTGCAGCCTGAAAGCCCCAGGGCAGCAGAGGGCAGCCCAGGAGGCACCAGGCTGGGCTTCTGCCTGGCACTGGCCTTTGAAAAAGTTCTGAGAGAGTTGGAGGACACTAGGGATGGCAGCTGCAGGGGAGCAGCCGACGCTTCGGGGCTCGTGTCGTAGCAGCTCTGCCGAGTCGCCCCACCTCACCCCCCTGGAACCTCCTGGGTACCCAGCCGGAGGTGGGGACCTGGAGGGACAGGAACGCTGTGACCTACCCACTGCTCCGCCCTCGGGCACCTGGCTGCAGAAGTTGGAAGCTGAGGTTTTGTTTTATTCGGTGAAAGTCTATTCTGACTGTGCCAGTGGCTGTGCCTCCCCACCGGCCATGCCACCTCCAAGTCCCAACTTGCCGGCTGTACGTGGGGAGGAGTCAAGAGCCAGGGTGAGCGGGCCCAGCAGTCCAGAGTCCTGCACCACCAGCAGCCTTCCAGGAGAAGAGGGGTGCAGGGTGGCCCTCGGGAGGGCATCTGTGTAAGGCGTGGCAGGGCTGGCACCAAGGCTCGCGGCTGAGGCCCTTCTGGAGGTCACCTCTTCTGGGTCCGAAGCTGTCGCAGGAGCCACTGCACGAGGAAAGGCCACAGGAGGAGGAAGAACACCATGGTTGCCGAGAGCCTGAGGGGCCGTGGCCGAGGTCCCTGCGGGAGAGGAGAGAGGAGAGAGGAGCTGGCGCTGTCCTGGCGGTCTGCTGCTCCGATCCAGGTTCCTGAACCCAGGCCTGTGCCTGGCCAAGCAGCCAGTGTGTTTCGAGTCCCCACAGTCCAGGGGCCAGAGGCTACGGGGGGCGCTGACCCTCGGGCGGGATGGGAGGGTGGGTTCATGGCTGGGTGGCACCATGGAGCAGGGTAGCTTCTCACAGCGAGCGGTCCACAGAGAACCCCGGCAACCCAAGCGGTGATGTAAAAAGCGGCATGGTATTGTTGACTGGACTCCTCAATCTAAAATTCAGCAGTCCACAAATGATTCTCAAAAAAAAAAAAAAAAGCAGGGAAGTTATTGCCATCCAACAGGCTTTGAGGTTGACTCCTCACTATGTAGCTGAGGCTCGCTTCAAACTGACTGTGATCTTCCTGCCTCAGCCTACCAAGTACCAGGATTACCAGTGTGCCCCACCACGCCCAGCTACATACTATTTCTTTTCTTTTCTTTTTTTCTTTTTTTTTTTTGTGGAACTGGGGATTGAACTCAGGTCTTTGCTCTTGCCAGGAAAGTGCTTATTGCACTGAGCCATCTCCCTGGCCCTACATACTATATTTCAAGAAAACCCAAGGTAATCAAGGAAACTACAGAAAAATGTTGTCTAATAAATGTTATAGGAAGGGTGGGCCAAATAGCTCAGCAGATTAAAGCACAGTGCTGGGGATTGCTGGCCCTGCCCCCTGGGCCTGGAGACTGCAGTGAGACTGGGCGTGGTAGTGCACACCTGTAATCCCAGTTCTTGGGAGGCTGTAAACAGGCATATCACTCCGAGTCTGATCTAGTAGTGAGACCCTGAACACCCTGTAGACCCTTCCCTAAAATACAAAAATAAATAAATAAATGTTATAGGAAATATAGGATTTTTCTTTTGTTGTAATAGGACTTTTAAAAATCAATATTTTTCCAACTATTAAATGACTCAGTCAAAGATTATCACTTGTCAAAATCCTGTGGCAAATGAGGTTGCGGAGCTGGGTCTCATCATCCTGTGTCCCAAGGACATGCACTCTGGCATCCCTGTCCCCTAACAGCACCACCTCTGATACTGCCACACCTGATGTCCCGTCCACAGCAAGGCAGTGTCTAGAGGAAGCAGAGATTATCACACGCCCGCTGGAGGTGCTGCAGGAGCCTGGCCCAGCCTGGTCACCAGACCAGCAGCAAGGGACAGGCCTGTCTTCAGGGACACTCAAGCTGGGTGCAGCTCACTGTACAGAGCCAGCCCGGCCTGATCAAGGCCCTGGGCTTGACCAAAGAAATGCCTCACAATAACACAACAATGAGAATGATGCAAGACATTTAAAGACAGGATCTAGGCATAGGACAGCAACCAGCACTGGACAAGCAGGAACTAGAAAAGGCAATTTCAGGACAAATGGGGAAATCTGTATTGGGATTGTCTTGGCAATTAAGCATTAACTGTAAAAAAAAAAAAAAAAAGACAAAAAAGGGGCCAGGGAGATGGCTCAGTGGAATAAGCACTTCCCTGGCAAGCGCAGGGGCCTGAGTTCAATCCCCGGTACCCCCCCCCCAAAAAAAAAAAATTAACTGTGTGATGAACCTGTGGTGGTACAGGCCTGTGATCGCAGAACATAGGAGGCCAAGGCAGGAGGATCACTGGGAGTTTGAGACCAGTCTCGAAGTGAGCTTACAGCCAACCTGGACTACAGAGGAAGACTGTGTCTCAAAAAGGGTGGGGGCAGGGAGATGGCTCAGTAGAATAAGTGCTTGCCTGGCAAGCGCAAGGGGCTGAGTTCAATCCCTGGTTCCACCAAAAAATAAAAAGAGGGAGACAGGGAGTTTTCCTTGTTTTTTGTTTTTGGTGGAACCAGGGATTGAACCCTGGCCCTTGCGCTTGCCAGATAAGCACATATTCTACTGAGCCATCTCCCCAGCCCCTTGGTTTTGATTTTTTGAGACAGGCTCTTCACTTCAGGCTCACCTGGCCTCAAACTCAGTGATCCTCCTGCCTCTGCCTTCCTAGTGCTGAGATTACAGGTATGCGGTACCTTACCCAGCCAAAAAGAACACTCTACTGTATTAGGGGCTGGGGAGATGGCTCAGTAGAATAAGCGCTTGCCTGGCAAGTGCAGACTCGGGGAGGGGGGGGGCGGAATTCTACTACTTAGCCAAAACTTTTACATTCTTCTTCTCTATTTTTTTTTTTTTTTTTTTTTTTGCAGAACTGAGGATTGAACTCAGACCCTTGCACTTGCCAGGCAAGCGCTTATTTTACTGAGCCATTTCCCTGGCCCTTGCCAAAATGTTTTATTTATTTATTTATTTTTTTTGGCGGAACCGGGGATTGAACTCAGATCCTCGCGTTTGCCAGTCAAGCGCTTATCCTACTGAGCCATCTCCCCGGCCCCCCAAAATGTTTTAAAGCTGAGTTTGAGACCATCCTGGGCTACCCAGTGACACCCTTTTTCAAAAAACAAACAAAACCTCAAGTATTTCAGATGGAACATCAGAATGTCTAATCTATTTTAAAATCCTTGGTGTTTAAAACTTGGGGAAGGGAAGGCTATGTCAAAATCCTTGCCCTGTGACCCAGAGGACCCATCAAGGTGCCCAGTGAGTCAGGGATCACTCAGAAAATGCCCACAATGGGAAGCTCATCCCTGTCCTGCTCCAGCGACCCTGGGATTCTCAAGAACAAACCTTGGAGCCAAGTGGGTAAGGGGCAGAGGGGCCTGGGCCATATCTAGCATGGCATTTCCTGTTTATAATAACAATAGGTAGGGGGCCAGGGAGATGGCTCAGTGGAATAAGCGCTTCCCTGGCAAGCGCGAGGGCCTGAGTTCAGTCCCTGGTTCCGCAAAAAAATAAATAAATAAATAAATAAAAAATAATAATAATAATAATAATAATAATAAAATAAAATAACAATAGGTCAACAGGAGACTCCAGACCCTGGGCACCTGGAAGCCTGGGTTACCCAGTCCCTACCAAGTTGATGCAACTCTGCAAAGAGAGATGAGGAGGAAGCTAACTAGGGCTACCATCTTGCTGCTGAAACTCTAGCAAAGGCAGCTTTTGCCAGGTCCACTGGCACCAAGGTTTCAGGACAGGGCTACGAGCTGGACTGTTGGAGTAACTTGGACACATGGGGACAGGAACTGCAGCCGTGCAGAGAGCAGACAGGGACAAGCCTCCATGCTGCGGCCTACAGAGGAGAGCCAGGAGGGTCCCCTTTCCACCCTCCCTCCAGGCGGAAAGCCCTGGGCCTGTGGAGGGGGAGGAGGGGGAGGGGGAGGAAAGGCTTCACCTGTGCAGGGCACTGAGGCTTGCTCTCCAGGCTCCGCAGCCGCCCCTGGACGTCCCGCATGTTCTCCTGCAGAGCCCGGACTGTGTCCACCAGCCGTGTGTCCAAAGCCTGGGGCCCCCAGGGTCTGCTGCTCAGCTCCTCTGCAGCACAGACATGGGAAGAGAGACCTCAGAGACTTCATGAGGGCAGAGGTGAGGGTGGGGACAGGGCAGGCAGCAGGGCCAGTCAATGGGCTACCCAGGCCAGGGTTGGTCAGATGAGCCCAAGACTCAGGCTCATCCGTGACTTCTGGGGTTTGGTTGCCCTGGGCGGCAGAGACTCGCCGAGCAGTTTGAGGCCGGAATCCATGCCCAGCACCATTAAGATTAACAACAGAGAAAGACACCTTCTTCCTCACAGGCCTGCTGCTCAGTGAAATTAGGATTTAGCATGTATAAAAGCACCCCCTTTAGAAGGGCTGACCAGATAGCTCAGTGGACTGAAAGGCCGGTGTTTGATCCCTGGCTTGCTGTGCAGGCCCCTCTTCCCCCGGCTATTGAGACTGGGCGTGGTGGCGCATGCTATGAGTTGGATAAGAGAGCACCCCTTTAGGGACACGGCATACAGCACTCTCCAGAGGTTTCAGGCAGAATATGTAGATGTTCTTGGCATCCCACAGGGATACACGTGGCTCTACCCAGCAAGAGAGGACCTGAGACCTCAGTTCCCCTGGGAGGGGTGGGGCGGGGCCATGTCTCCTCTTTGGCAGCCCTGCCCTACCCGAACCAGCTGCACCCCCAGGGCCTGTGCTGGACTTCTGCCTTCACCCCAAGAGGGCATGAGGGAGGATGGAAAAGGCAGGGTGAGAGGTCAAAGCTCACCTCTGTCCATGGGGGGCTCAGGGCTGGTCCTGGTCTCAGGGTCTCCTCCTGCCATGCCCCTCTGATCGGCCAAGACCTGAGTGATAAGGTAAGGTGGGGGATGGCCATGGCCCCTGGTGTGGGGCGGCAGAAGCTAGGTTCTCACCGGCTCAGGCTCCAGCTGCTCCATCGAATCACAGAAAACCTCCAGGTCCAGGGCTCTGGGGCTCTGGGGCTCTGTAGAGCAAGAGGCAGGCATTCCTAATAGGGCTCTTAGGGGGGTCATGGGACTGGGCAGGGCAGGAGGGGCCTCAGGGCAGCAGGAACAAGGATCTCAGTCTGAGCCTGGCACCCAGACCTCTCCTCGGGCCCAGCCTGGTCTCCCCTCCCGTCCACCGCTGACCTGGGTCTAGGGGTGCAAGCTCCTCAGGGAGGGAGGGACACTCTGGAACAGCACAGCCATCGCTGCGAAGCACTGGTTCTTTCCAGCCTGTGCAGACGCAGCACACAGGGTTGGGGCCAGAAGAAGATCTGGTCCCTTGTCCCTGTGAAGGGGACCGGCTGGGGTCCTCATTCTGCCCCCAGCCCCCATCCATCAAACATTAGTGTCCCCCGCCTGCACTTGAGGAAGCTTGGTGCTGGGACCCCACCTGTGACACTTCTTAGGAAGGCTTCTGGGGGCCTCGGCATGTCCGGGATCACTTGGTACAGGGGCATGAAGCAGCGGAACACATCCTCTGTCACCTCCCGCAGGGGCACCGTGTCAATCACCTGGTGGTTGGGGTGCTTATGAAGACAGCGTCACTGTCTCACACGCCCTGGAGCCCTTAGCACCCAGACCGGTTGCGATGGGGGCAGCAGGAAGGTAGTGACTCCCAGGGAACACTAGAGTGTGTGGGCGCCTCGGGAGTTCTGGGACAGCAGGGCCGGGCGTCCCCACCTTCTGTGCCATCAGCTTCATCTCAGCGACGTACGAAGACATAGCCTCTTCCCTGCTCATCCTTCCCAGACTGCGCCATGCGTCCCTAGGGCAGAAGGCAGTGAGGAGGCGGCCAGGGCAGGCGCACTTGCCGGGCCACGGGGTGCTCACCACTTGTAGCGTCCGATAGGGTCCCAGAAGCCGGGCCTCGGCGCCAGGCAGGGCCCAAGGGTGGCCTGCTTGTAGTAGCTGTAGAACCGAAGCATCTCCTCGTAGGAGGGGCGGTAGGAGCCTGCGCAGGATGGGACCAGTGCACCGTGTCACCCAGGCCCAGGCACGAGGCTCAAGGGTCATGGGGGACAGGTGGTGGTGGGCTACCCCGGCAGGATGGTGACCCGGGACAGCCCACACGCGACACGAAGGCGGCCGCGGCCTCACCAGTCCGGGGCAGACTCTGGACGACGCTGACCGCCGCCTGGAACTGCTCGCGGCAGGTGGGCTCGGGGCCGCCGCGCTCAGTGCCCATTGCACTGTGCCCCGTCCTTCCTCCTCCGGCGGGCGGCGGGGCTCAAGAAGCAGGGGCAGGGTGCAAGTGTCGCAGGGCCAGTGACGCTGTCCCTGACGGCGCCACTCGGGTGTCCATCTCCAGCCCTGGGACAGGGCAAGCGAGGCCGCGGAGCGCACGAACGGCTCCGCCCCGTCCCGCCCCTCCCTGCCCCACGGCGACCGGGCGCGCAAAACCTAGATCTCGCTGCTTTCGGGTGCGGGCCGGAAAGCTTAGCCAATGAGAAGCATCGTTTCATAGTCGGCTTCTATGCTCTAGCCACTCAGTGTGGCCCTTTCAAGCTTACGCCACTTCTTCGCGGGGCAGCGCCGCGGAACCGCACCCCCGAGTGGACGCGGCGGAGCACGCGGTCCGAGCGCCTCCTAGTGGAGGCAACGCGGGGCCGCCGCAGGAGCGCCCGATCCGGCTCCTCCGACCCCTGAGCCGCGTTTGGGGGCCGGCGGGGAGGTCACTCCAGGGAGGGACCGCAGAGTCGGGGCGGGGCTTCAGGGTCCCGCAGGCCCAGCTCAGGTCGCGGCGGGGCCGACGGCCCGGGTCTGCGCCGCCAGTCAGATCGCGCCCGCGCGATCACCGCCCGCCCTCGGGGCAGCACCGCGCAGCGGAGTCTCGGGAGGGCTGGCGAAACCCGAGGCAGACTCGGCGGGGGCGGGCGGGGGCGAAGGTCCGGGCCAGGTCCCCGCCGCCCCGCACCTCTCCCCGAGTCCAGCCCTCGAGCAGCGCCCCCGCCCAACACCCCGGCCCCCGCCCCTCTTCCGTGCTTCTCCTGGCGGTCCTACTCCGCCCCTCCTCTCGAGTCTTAGGCCGTCCTCCTCCTTCTGCCCGCGCCCTGCCCCTCCCCTGCCGGCGCCCGCGCCCCGCCCCCCGCGCCCCTCCCC